TCAGAAGAAGACAAAAATATGGGTATTCTAATATTGTTTTAGATGACATTCAAAATTTAACTATTTGCACAAAATTCTGATACAATATATTAGTTCAGAAGTATCAGAAACGAGAGAATTGCAACATCAAGTTAGAAAAAAATAAAATGTTTCTCTCTCTAACATATAACTTAGAAAGATTTACTTGATATGTCAATCACACGAGCCCGCTATAATCTTAAAAAAAAATATTATTAAGGGATAGTACTTTCCGTTTTGGTTTTTAAATACACATTCCGCAATTTCTGCAGTATCCCACCATTTGAATACATTAATATTTTATCGTCTTATCTAAATATCTATCAATTTTATCCAGATGTTTACTAATATTTGAGTTATTGTGTTTTTGTATTCAAAGCATTGCATTAAAAAGTAATCTTGCTGTAATGAGTTAGATTCATAATTAAGATTTTGAGCATCTTGAACTCCGATAGGTTTCTTTTAAAGAAATACTTTCAAGCAATGCTCCTTTTTTTACTTCCTCCTCATAAATTATCTATTTTTTAGTATGGGTTTGAGAACTAACAGTATTTTAAAGATGATGGATTTGATGATGTTATTTCTAGGCTTAGAGTAGGACTACAAATATAACAATCATGATAATCATGACTGTTGTGCTATTTTAATTCTGGATCAATAGCATAGTTTTTTGATAAGTGAAATAAGTGAGTTGATCTGATAAATAAAAGGAAAAACAGATTTATCTCTAGGTCAGGATTCATTCAGCTAATCAATTGATTTTCCGAAAAAATAATCCAGAAACCTGTCCTATTAAAAGTATGTTGACTTCAAATAAAGGTTCATCGAAGTCTTCTATGCCATTAATGAATTGGTTCAATACAAATGTGTCCAGAGTCACATTGCCATATTTCAATTTAATAATATCCTCAAACCAAAAAGTTAATAGGAAGACAAATTATCATCAACACTTAGAGTTAACATTTAAAAATTGAATCTGATTACCATCTGACATTTCAATGAGTATAAATTTATTATTTTTAATTAAATATGACAAAAAAATTTGTCAGTTGACATCTAATCATGATATCATCAATTATTCATTTTTGACATTTAGCATTAGTGATTGTCAATTAGTCATCATTTATCATTCTATTTTATTTTATTGGACAAAATCATGTAAAAAGTCATGTTATTTGTAATACTTTAAGAAATATAAATATGCTTTAAATCTTCTTCAGTGAAAAAAATTAATCAATAAAAATAAATCTGGCATGATTGATTGATTCATAACCCTTTCTGATGATTAATGGTTTGGTCAACATTTAATTATTAGCTAGGAACCCCGTTTATTAGTTTTACTATATTGCTCGTAGGGACGCCTTAAGTGATGTAGTTGTATATAATGATTTTAGTTTAGTTTGAACAATATTAGCTGCGTGCCAGATTTGGTGACTCTGCAACAGATTAGAGTTTCTATTCGTAATACAAATTTTTGTCTGAATTATTCAAATCATTCGTTTTGTTAGAATAATTATCATTTGTTTATTCGAATTGTTATCATTCGTTTATTATTTGAATTGTTATCATTCGTTTATCATCATTCGTTTATTATTATTCAGATTGTTATCATTCGTTTATTATTATTCGAATTGTTTGTTAGAATTGTTTGTTATCATTCCGTTTATTATTATTCGAATTGTTTGTTATTAAATTATTCATTATTATCATCATTCATTTGTTCGAATTATTCATTATCTTTAGTTTTGTTCGAATTATTCGTTTATTCGTTTTGTCTGAACTATTCATTTTATTCAGAACTATTTGTTTTGTTTGAATTATTCATTTTACTTGAATTACTCGTTTTAATCGAATTATTCATTTTACTTGAATTGTTCATTTAATCGAATCATTTTATTTCAAACTATTCTTTTTACTCGTTTTATTTGAAATATTCGAATTATTTCGTTCATTCGAATTTTGTTCGAAATATTCGAAATATTCGTTTTATTCAAATTATTTGTTTGTTTGTTTTACTTGAATTATTCATTTTTTTTGTTTTATTCAAACTATTCGAATTTTTTTGTTTGTTCGTTTTATTCGAACTATTACTATATTAATATGTTTTATTTCGATTATTCGTTTTATTCGAACTATTCGTTTATTTGTTTTATTTAAATTATAGATCGAATTATTTATTTTATTTATTTATTTATTTATTTATTTATTTATTTGTCTTACTGAATTATTCGTTTATTCATTTTATTCGAATACTCAAATTCATAACGAATAAAACAAGTAATTCGAATAAACCCTAATCAAGCATATAGTTGTATATAGCGATTTTATTTGGTGACTCCAATAACTCAGATCACACGCTTGCAATATTATAGACCGTAAATAATTACAACATTACGGTTTTACGGTCTCTGTTTAGGGTGTCATGCCGGATTTATTTATGTAATGCTAAATTCAAGTACACAAGTCTTAAAAAAAAATTTATTTTATTTGTGTGAGACATATTTGTACTAACAGGAGGGAACGTACTGGGAACACAAAATTAACAGGAGGGAACACAAAAATTTAACCCATGCAATTTTGTGATTGACCAATTAAAATCGTGAATTTGATAATGTAG